TTAATAAAGTTGTTGTCGTAAAAGTTTACAGCTAGCGGGTAGCAGCAAGATTTGAATCATTTGCATTCATTCATCTGTAAAGTTATATGAAATTATATGCAGTTTCCTGGAACAGGAGAAATTTTCCTAATGTTTTACCAGGATGATTTTAGCTTCATAGGATAAGTGAAGAAAATCATTTTCCATTCTGTTGTTTGTGATTAACATCAAGCTTAAAAACATATCTGTTTACAAGTGGGAAAGACCACCACTGCTGTTTGAACAATTTGATTTGTTCTATTTACTTGAATCTTAAGTGTGAATATAAAAGTATGACCTGGCAAAATGGTTTTTCTATTAACTGAAATGTTGAGTGATTCATTACCAACAAAATTGAACAGCTCATTATCAACACAGTGCTGTTACTCAACTCTTATCAATTACACTTAAGTAAACATATGTTAAAATTGTCATAACAATCATCATCACATAATGTTAAGCATATATAAAAAGTACGAACGAAGCATGTATGTACATGACCTGAATTTGGAACTAATTTAGATAGGTCTTAAGCATAATTGGGCCATGTGATGAAAATTCACCCTTTTTGGCTAGTTTACACTAATTTAATTAACCTTTTCTGCCTTATTGTTGTATTCAGTGTTTTGGGAGTATTGTCTTACAAATATTCATTTTTAAACTTATAGTGTGACTGCCACAGGCAGGTTGCTCAAAATCTGTCTTTTTTTTAAAGCAAATATTGAGTAAGATAGTTATTTACTCCATATTTCAAGATGGTATAATTGATAAACTTGTAGAAAATTAAAAATAGTGAAAAGCTATTTTTGAAGAAAATGAGTGAATTACCTAAAGAGCTGAGCGACTCTAATTAAACTCAGTTCTACCTTAATGGACAGTGTTGGCAGAGCAGCAGAATCAGCTAAGACAAACCACAGCAGTGCAGCAATGTCACAACTGAAGGTTTTGATTACACCTCGCTGTCAAAATCATTAGTTGCCTTTAGTATTTTAGGGTGTAGTAACCATCCACCTCCCTAAGACATGTTTCAAAGACTTGCATAACAGCAACAATTGGCCAGCCTATCTCCCCCTTAGTGACACAGCAATACGTGAGGATAATGTGACGAAATACTGTTGGAAGTATGCAGGCATAAATTAGCAGGCTATAATAATGGTTATAATAAAGTTCAGATATAACACGTAGTGTCATTGGTTGAAAGAGCAAGCTCTATGAGAGTCACTAGGGGACGCAAGTGGCCTCAACTGTTAAGTACTTTTTGGAAATTAGCATTCCTAACATCCCGAGCTGCACGAGAGTGTCAAAATCCATGCGTATGTTAGAAATTTCACTAGACCTAAAGTACGCCAGATGAGGGCGAATAAATATGAGAAGATAAATGAATTAATGCCTGATATCAAAATGTCATCAGCTAATGTTTTTGTTTCACACGTAATCAATAGTGCCTTTATTCCTTGGCCAGTTCCTTTGTGTTACATTGTAGATTACAAAGAGAAATATATCCACACGATTTATTTGCCCTCATCTGCTTACTTTAGGTCTAGTGAAATTTCTGTGACATACGCACAGATTTTGACACTCTCACGCAGCTCGGAATGTTAGGAATGCTAGGATAATATCCTAGCATTTCTAAAAAGTACTTACAGTTGAGGCCGCTTCTGTCCCCTCATGTAGAGCATAGAACTGAGCTAAAGCTTTCACGCCATCTGCCAAATTGTACTGTGTCCGACCTTTTCTGGGACTTCTTTCTAGCTTTCTTTCGTTAATTGAAAGTGAAATTTCGAAACAAGCAAGCAAAGGTTTGCAAAAATACCAGGCGCAGTAATTTATGTTACTGTAACATTAGCAGAGACAAAAATCCTCAAAGATAAAACAAAATAGACAGCCCTAGTTTTAACAGTTTTCATGCTTGATTAGATTGCAAGTTTACATACGGTGATTAAATCAAACACAGCTAACACTTGTATAGTATATAAAGTTTCATTTTCAAAAATAAAACAGAAAAAAAACAGGAATGATGAAAAATATAACCTGGCATAACTGTTAAAATTCATACTAATCATGACGGTGTCAGAACGACTGCGATCATGCTGATGCGTTGAGTGGAAGGCCACATCAGTCACTGCAGCTGAGTTTTACGGCGCTGTCATTCCATTCATGTCCTAGTGAATTTGGCTGTTGTTCATTCATAATACACTTGCCTTGAACAGTTTGTTTTCTACTTTTCATGTGAAATAACTTGCGTATTTTTGTGAGCCACAATTGGGCTGAATTTCACTGAACATTCCACTTTCAGATTCTGTATTAGAAACTAAAACACTTCAGGTGAAAGTGTTAAATTCGACATTGTAAACTATTGCAGAATATGAACTTTGATGGTTTGACATTTTGACAGCTTTAGTCTTATACAGCCAATCAGATTATTTGAACCATTCTAACAGGTTATCTGATTGGCTTATTGTAGTATGGATATGAGAGTATAGAGCATGCTGATGACACTGTTGTTCACTTTGGAAATAAAGTTTGTTTTGAAAATTAAAAGTAATTCTTGGGGAACTTAATGGATTCTTTATTATAAAACAACTAGAGAAACCTTGACTGTGCTCTGTTCTATTGTAAAGCACTTACGAAGCACGACTACATCTCGTGTTTCCCCCTACACTTCTTTCGTGCTCTAGCCACTTCCTGCGCGCTTTACAGCAGAACAGAGCACAGTCAAGACTTCTCTATTTGTTAAATAAGAGGGGAACATAACCATGTGTACATGAACTAATCCCAATGAGCGTGCTACTTATGATCTAATAATAATATTAATATGTGCATTTCAGGTTGTAAGTTATTTTCATGGCTTTCAAACATGTAACTTCTTGGTTTATGTAAGAGTATTGAATTTTTTTTAAATTTTAAACTAAACTCATAGTTGTAGATTATAATCTCAAGCATGTGGATTATCCTGATCATTTCCACTCAAAGGGAATCTTTCCAACACAATCTATCCAGGCTTTTATACAACCCTACATGCAAAATCTCCAAAGTTTTCAAATCCTGTTTTCACACAAGATAATCTACATAAGCTGAAACATGATATATTAGCTTGGTTCAGTAAGAGTTTTGATGCATTTTAATTTCTTAATAATATTTTTTTTTGCAATGAATTTTTTTTATTTAGCTATTTTAATGCATTTT